AATTTTGATTACTGCCACTTCATCCTCTTATAGTAGAGAAACAAATAAGTTTGGAATTAAATATACTCTCAGTAACTTTCATCTACTCTGATTGTTTCTTTCAGTTAGCTTCATTTGTCATTCAAGTTAAAACAGTGACTCAAAAGTGAGACACCCTGGCATGTGTATCCATTATTCCTTCTACAGTGTAGTATTTCCACTGATTTTCATGAAAATTATGAGTTTGAAAGGAATGCGTTATTAGGCTAGATTAAGAGAAGACATTTGGAAGTACTTAAGTCATCCTACAACTTCAGAACCTAATGTTTATTATGGTACTTGAGCTTGAAGCAAGATAAATAATACCATAAAACAGCACATCTTTGAATATATGAGGATTGCTGTGAAAGCAGTGCCTCCTATTTTATCATGATGCCCCACAACATAAGTCAGATGTTGGCTGTGTGGCAGTAGAGGTTGTACCTTCCCACTAATATTCCAATATGTTTGGTTGCTATGTGACATATGGCAGCAGAGGAGCAATCTGACACAGTGATATCCTACATGGAAGTACATGTGAATCAAAGATGTATCACAGTGAGTTCCTTCTATGCAGAAATAATTGCTCCCATTGATGTTCAGTAACGCTTACTCAGCATTTATGGATATCAAGCAGTGGATGTGAGCACGGAGAGGAGGTGAGTAGTGCATTTCAGCAGCAGTGACTGTGATATGAAAAACAAGCAGATCTGTTACGATACAATGAGCATATCATCTGGATTATGACCAGAGAACTGTGTATGAAGCTCCATATTAGCTTCAACGCATTGGAAATGATGGTGGCAGTGTTGGACTATAGCAGAGTTTGTGCAAGGTGGGTCCTAAAAATGCACACACAGGTTGAACCAACATGAGGCTGAAGGATGACAGTGTCCTGGATCACACTCTCATTGGTGACAAGATGTGGTATCATTGCTACAAGCCAGAGTCAAAACAGTAGTCTATGAAGTAGTGACATGTGTATTCCCCATCAGAGAGCAAGTTCCAACCCTCAGCAGGAAAGAGACATGTACTGTCTTCTGGGATAGGAAAATGGTGATTCTTCTGGATTTCCTGAAATTCAGACAAACCAATCACTCTGACTGCTAGATTGCAATACTGACTAACTTGAAGACTCAAGTTTCCAAATTCAGGCTAGAGAAGAAAATTTTTCTCCTGCAAAATAAAAATGCTTGACTCTGTATCTATATAAGCATGCCATGTGCACTCTTGTTCATCACTGGTGAAATTGCATAGCTACTGATGGTAACTATGTTGAAAAATGCTGTTATGTAGCTGGCAACTTTCTCTATCAAATAGCTTTATTGTGCTCTTTATATCTGTTGTAGTTTCCAGGGAAATAAACAGGAGGCATTACTTTTGGAGTGATCCATGTATTATGGGTTGATTTCCCTAACATTTTTTTTTTAATTAAAATTACACTGAGTTAAAAATGTTTTCTCATCTTTTTAATATTAGAATAGGCAAATAGATATAAATTACATCTCTCTAAAAAGGCTTGCAACATTCCTAAATGTTGGAAGTAAAAGCACATATGAATTAGATACTTGTGTAATCACATTTCTTTGGTAGCCATTAAGTCTTCATGATAGATTACATTAAAACTGATCCCCTATAAACAGCATGTCATCCTTAATTCTTACAACATGACTCTCCCACTGTTGCTTTGGAAGCGTTGTTCTCCCATTCCAAAGCATATATAAACAAAAAATAAATTGATCTTCACTTTACCATAATTGTGTATACTGTGGTTTGCTCTCTTCTAGATACATTGTTCAGATGTAGAACTACATCTGGCTAGGCTTGTCAGAATGGGCTTTCTAATTTTTTTTATTATTATTTTTTTAAAATCTAGAACATAGCATTCATCTTTACTGCACAGTTAAATCTGGACCTTAATTTCCAGTTGCCACCAATGATCTTGCCACTCCCATAAGTACCTTTCTCACCTTATCCTTCTATTGCCACAGATTGTGAATGTCCAATGCCAAAATGGGAAACCCAAGGCAAATATGTGGAAAAGTTAAAAACTTAACTTCTTTTGGCCACCAAGATGCTTTACGAACAGTTTAGAGCACTAATGTTTTGTCATTCTCACAGTGCTTCTAAACCTTGAAACAATACATGGAGGATTTAACCTTTCAGGTATTCTTTTAAGTATGATGGCTCACATCTGGATATGATCAAGTCATAACAAAGTACTCATCATGAGAGTTAAGGCTAACAGATACAGCATACTGCTGGAGCATAAACTTTTGAACTAAAAACTCACTGAGACACATATTGTACCTTTTTATATTGTTCTAGACTGTTACTTGGATTAACAGATATCATCACACTCGTAAGATCAAAGTCTTACTGTTAATACTTCCTTAAAAACAAAAGTGAGAAAATTACCTGTATTTAAATGACAATGTAGAATTTATTAATATGACAGTTGGAACACTATGCCTGAGTATGGAGCAGCCATTTAAAGAAAGAAGAAATAGGAAGAGTTCAGATGAAAGCATCAAGAATTAATGATCCAAAGTGTCAGAAAAAAAACCCAAAACAAAACAACCCTAAGATTTTCTCTCCCTAAATAAGAAAAGAACAAGTGGGGATTGTTTGAGGGATGAAAACAACTAGAACATGATTAAGAAACTTCAATATGAAAGTTTCCTACAGGAAGCAAAATAAGTTCCCTGTAGCCCCAGTGCAAAAAAGTAACAGGCTAAAGTAACATTCAGCAACTTCCAGGCTTCCTATCAGAAATCAGGAAAAACATTTTAATGGCAAGGCTAGCGAGACACTGGAATAGATTATTTCAGTAAGTAATCACAACAAATCTTTAAGAACAGTCAGCGAGCAGCCATTAAAAGAAACTTCATTGATCTTGGCTTTGAAGAAAGAATGAGAGGGTGGATATGACACCTCCTTGGAGTCCTTTTCAGCTGTACGATACCAATACCATACATCAGTACAGTTTGATGTAGAATATTGACTTGGAATGAAAGTCAAACTCAGAAGACTCAAGTCAATTTCTTCATGTAGATGATCACTTGGTTTCTGATGCAAACATCTAGTTATATATCACCTAGCTACACTGATGTAGTCTGCAACTTCCTTATTTAATAGTTTAATAATTGGTCTATATATAAATTGGCTATATATAAGCATAAGGTCTAATCCAGTCACAGTATATAGGACTTCACTTGCAGAGACCAGTGACTCACCAATTGGTTCCAAGGCCTTTAAACCAGACAACACTAGCAACAGCTGATAACAACACAGAATTCCAGATGTAGTCCTTAATGGAAAAGTTCAAGAGGAATTAGCTTCATGTTGTTTACCTTCAAAATTCTAAACATACCCAAGGTTCTTAATCCTGCACTTTACTATCTTTTGTGTTACTTCTGATTTTGATGTTGTTTGACTTCGTTTGGTTGTGGGTTTGTTTGTTTTTCACAGAATCACACACGGAATCACAGAATCACCCGGGTTGGAAGGGACCTCAAGGATCATGTAGTTCCAACCCCCCCTGCCTAGCAGGGCCACCAAACATACACATTCAGATCAGGTTGCCCAGGACCCCGTCCAACCTGGCCTTGAACACGTCCAAGGACGGGGCATCCACAACCTCCCTGGGCAGCCCGTTCCAGGGCCTAACCACTCTCAGTGATTTTTGTTGTTGTTGTTGTTGTTGTTGTTTGTTTTGTTTTTAAATCTAAGACATTTAATGGTAGATCATTGTTAATCATTAGAGTAACAATCCTGTAAATACTTCATGAACAAATGTTTACTTCAAAATAGTTTTTGTAGAGTTATCACAAAATAACTGAACAAGCTTCCCCAGTTCATCTGGTTTTTTTTTCCAATAACAATTTATGCTTCAAACACAAGAACTCAGGACAAATGTACAGCTACCAGCCTGACAAGCCACTAAACATGAAAAAGTAACATTCTCCAACTTCATTTCAATGAATTCCTTACATCTAAATCATTTGACAGAACTCCAGGTAAATGATAAGGAAGAGGGGGAGGGAGGGGGGAAACAACAACTTGCATTATACATTATGTTTTGGATGGTGAGAACTGAACTGTTAGGTAAACATGCTTTGTAAAATGAAATATATGTTTCATTATATATATATATATATATATACATATATTTATATACACTTATTTTATATATATATATATATAAAATATATATAAATATACCAAAAAACGATACAGCAGCAAAATAGCAAGCATCAGGCGTTGCAAAGTTTCTATACCTAACAAAGTAGCTCCCATTCAAAACATCATCAACTGATAGAAGTTACAAACGTCTGTGTTTCAGATACAACCAATATCTTCAAAATACATGGAATCTCTGCTATAGACAGTCGCTCTCTGTTGGTGGGTATGTGATTGCCCTTTTCACAACATTTAAAAAGATGCACAAAGCATGACTCCCCCTGCAACCTCCCAGTAAGAAAAGTTACCAAAAAGACTTAAATAAAGCAGCCGTTTGCCCCTTGGGCAGCCTGCAGCGTTACTCACCGCGACGGGTTAGTTTTGGAGACTTTCTTCCCCTCCCCCTGCACAGTAAGGGAGAATGGAGAGTAGTTAAATTTGAACTTCCCTGCTTTTGTTAGCGTGAGTCACCACCTTAACATTATCTCAACTGTAGACTTTTATCTGTGAATATCTAAGCCCTGTCTTGTGGAAAACTAATTACTGAGCCACTGAGAGGCTTCATAATGTCCTGCATTTAAGTCCTGAACATCATACATAATGCATAGGAAGCAGTCTCTGCACTCTGATTACAGAACACTGTCATTAAGAGAGCAAATTAAAGATGTGAATAATTCACTGACTGAGCTTATTGTCAGTGCTGCATTGTGAAATTAGAATTTCTAATAAGTACTGCAATTTTTTTAACCCAATTAACACAGAGAACATCTTGAGTCTGATTAGTACAATAAAAATTATTACCTTATTCTTTTGCTTCACAACAGCCAAATTAAATACTGTACTTAATTATGCAGCATTCATCGCTTCTGTGCTAGAAATAATAACAAAAAAAAATCTCACTGTTGCTTTAATAAGACTTCCAACATTTAGAATGCAACTGAAAAACAGAGCACACAAATCTCTAAGCACAATTTATATTGCAAAGTTACTATGTTTTTAAAAAGACTTTGCAAATATCACCAGTCGACCATGATGTCATTGCTGATGTCTTCTTTGGAAACGAAAATGTACTAAAAATAATCCCATAAAATGATGCTCCTGAACAAGCTCAGATTATACATTGTGAATTAACTTTCTCCAGGTTGATGTGAAGATGGGGGGGGGGGGGGAGGGGGGGGACGGGACGACAAAAACAAAAACAAAAAACCCAAAAACAAAAAAGCACCCCTTACCGACTAGAAACCAAATACACAAATATATAAACATCCATACATACACTGTTTCAAAAAAAGATGCTAAAAACATACAATGAAAAAACAATAGCTGGATCAGCTCTCTTACCTCAGTTCCCTTTTTGCACGGGATAGATCACATCCTTTCATCCTAGAAAGGAGAAAAGTCCAGTTCAACATCCAGCATGTTGATTTATCCACACGGTGCCTGCTGCCATGTTAAGTATAGAAAATGATCACTGAGGATGCAGCTTTTGTCTCCAAATATTTTTATGCATCCTTTTAGTGACCAGGACCCCAGGAACCTTCACACATCTGGCAGCAGACACCACTAGCTGCAGCTGCTGCAATAATATTTTCCTCACCCCTATTTCAATTCCACCTCTTATTTCTTCCCCATCCTGGGGAAGTTTAATCACTGAGCTCAGGTGGGAAAAAAAAAAAAAAAAAAAAAAAAAGTGGCATTGTAATCTTGAGCTTTTTTTTTTTTCTCCTAGAGACATGGACTGCAGCAAACAAGCAAACACCTTGCATCTTTGTCTAGTTCTTTTAGCATGTGCGTATGAGAAGGAAGGAAAAAAGGGCCTGAAAATTATTCAGACGCGATGCAATAGACATAAAGAGAGACAAAAAGACAGAGAGGCAGAGAAAGAGAGAGAAGGAGGCAGAGAGAGAGGAGAGAGAGGAAATGCTGAGAGGGAGAGGGGGCTGTCAGCGCAGATAAATCTGCATATGGAAATCAGGGTTATCCTGGGTACAGTTTTATTTAACCATGATGTACTGTTTTTTTAATTAGACAGGAATTTAGTGAGGAAATGAGGGATTCTTACACACACAAGAGCAAACGAAGCATTTTTAAGGGCAGGAGTTTCCACAGCAAGCTGCAGCACTCACAGCAAAACTTTTTATAGCAACTTTCTGGTTAGAAACAAAAGTTTCACGCACTGCTGAAAATTTATATACACACATACACAAAAGCACAACTGGAAGGGCAGTTTAAAATGAAATGGAATCAAGACAATCCAAAGCAGTTCAGTCACCAAAGACCCGGAAGCCACCAAGTCCACGACATTACTTAGTCTCTGACACACGACACAGTATTTTAAACTAAGTTTATGCTAGGCACAGCTTTAGAACTTTCCCCCGGCCCCTGCGCTGCGGTGACTGTCACAGCCAATGAGGACTTGTGAGGCAATGAGACCAGCCAATGCCCTGCTTGGATTCCCCATACACTACAGACTAAATCCTGTGCCTGGGAAGAGCGGGGTGCCCACAGCTGTGAGCAGCACCTGACCAACTAGAGAAGGAAGGACAGAAGCATGAGGAAGACTTCTTGCCTGGGATGGCTGAGGTGGCAGAAACGGAAAATGAGGTTCTGGCACAGGATAGCCCAGGATAAGCTAGAGTCGAGGAAACCAGTAAAAGATAGCAGATAGTGGAAAAAAACAGGGAGATCTGGGCAGCAGTGTGCTTTAGGGGCTTACTAGAAGTTGAGACATGTCCAGAATCAACTGGTGGTGGCTGCCCAGGCTAGGTATGCCTAGCAAAGCATTAACAGTAGTAGACTTTTGGGATGGGAACTGTGAGAGCGCAACCAACAGCAGCAGGGCTGTGGTAAGGGGCTGCTACGAAACTCCAAGGAAGCAGATGAGCAAGAAGCATATTAGCACTATAATGGGCTTAGGCGTCAACGGGAAGCACAGGGAAGGCATGGTGCAGCATTAAGCAAGAGGACAAAAGGCACAGGGGAACAAGGGGCAGAACCGGGAGCAGCCAGAAGGGAGCAGTGCACGGCGACACTCGAGTGCTACGCCGAGGACAGTACGCACACGCAAACGGCGGACTCTATGCGCAGCCAGCGGGAACAGGACCGGCCCACAGCCGCCGCGAGCCGCCTCACGGGCGGTGCTTCGCCCCGGGGCGGGACAGGAGGCGGGCGGGAGAAGGCAGGCGCAAGCGGACGGGCGGGCGGCTGTCCGGACAGAGGAAAGCCGGGCAGCGGGGCGGGAGGAGGGGGAGGAGAAAGAGGAGGAGCGGCCGGCGGCCAATCGGCAGCGTGGCGCCTGCGCAGTGCTGAGCTACCGGCGGCGCGCGGGACGCACGGAAAAGTGCTTCGGCGCGGAGGAGGAAGGGTGGCGGCGGCGGGCTCCGGTGGACTCCGGTGGTCCGCAGGTACCGGGCGGCGCGGCTGTTCTGTTCTGCTTTTGCTTTCCTGCCCTGCTTTATCGTCACTGGAGCAGCTGTCGCCTCACCCTGCCCGGTCTTGTCGTGGGCCTTGGCGGGAAGGCCTGTTGGCAGGCGCGTCGGGAACTCGCAGTTGCGGGGAGGGAAGGAGGCTGAGCGCAGGGCGTGGGGCAGTTCGGATGCCTTGAATCGTTGAGTTAAAGCAACAGCGAGTCTTGCTGTGCCTTATTTAATGAAGATGATGCAGAGCGTTCCCTTCAGCTGTGTGCTTCTGCCGTGTTGTGCTGTCACATTTATGCACCTGCATTAAACCGAGTTGCTGAAGGCGTCCTGTCAATTATTAGTTCTCTTAATTATATTGTTTGCTTATAGTTATTGTAGAACTTAGTGGCACCTGTTGCCCAGTTCTACTGTTTCAGCTGTTTCTCATATAAAACGTTAGTTCTTGAGGCTTAAGTGTGTGGTGAACTTCTTTAGGATGTGATCTTTGTTCTCAGGAATCCTGAAAAGAAATAAAAGCAAAAGGAGAAGTCAGAACTTTTATGAAAATTCAAATTAAGTTGTATAAGAATCAGCCCTACAGTGATCTTGCAAACTTCTAGGATTTCAGCATATCAGGGTTCCATAATTATCACTTGACGTATACTTAGTGCTTCTCAGAAAGAACTTGAGCTGTAGTATTGCTTTAAGTCATGACCAACTGGGAGCTTGTAATACAGGATGTGTTTTCATAGAGTGGCTTGTGTTGGAGGAGACCTTATAGGTTGTGTAGTTCCACCCACCTCCCTGCCATGGGCAGGAGTTTCATACTGCGGTTACTCTGGTCACAGAACAACTTGCGTTTCATTTCTGCCATTTCTTTTACCCTAGTGCTAATAGAACTTTGTGACAAGTCAGTTTAGATTGGATATAAGAAAAATGGTTTTTACAATGAAGGTGGTGAGGCACTAGAACAGGTTGCCTAGAGAGGTTGTGGAAGCCCTATCCTTGGAGGTGTTCAAAGTCAGGTTGGACAAGGCTCTGGGAACTCTGATCTACCTGCAGATGTTCATTGCGGGGGATTTGGACTAGATGACCAAGAAGGGTCCCTTCCAACTCAAATTACTATACGTCTCTGTGACAATTTAAACTGAACGAAACAAATGTACTTTTTTGTAGGATTAGCTTTTTGGTTATGTAACTTGCTGAACCTGTTTTGATTCTGGAAAATGTAGTTGTACAAAACAGCAGAATTATGCGGCAGGGAATGGGACCACAGTTTACTTTTTGGTGGCGTCTCTCACCTTGGGGTTGCAGTTAGGCTGATATTGTCCTCATTTGAGCTGGTGGGTTACGAAGAGCTGTAACAATGAAGAAGTTATTTGAAGGAATGCTGAAGTTTTTCATTTTAATTGTTAATTATCTGTTTATTTTCTGGATTAGATGGAAACAGTAGACGATGACTTTATGGATTCCTTCACACCTCCACTTCTCAGTGACAGCCTGCAGATGGCAATGGAGGTGGAGAATGAGAAGTCAAATCCTCCTTGTTTTTCCTGCATTTTTGACAACCAAAATGGAGGGAGAAGCTTCTCTGCAGAGTCTTACTTAGCAAGTGGGTCTCTTAAGAGGTATGTTGGTTTTGTGTTTTTTTTTTTTTAAGAGTTTCATATGTATCTTTTTAAGATGTTCTTTCCGCTATTGTTTTGTACCTCTAAATGCTGACAACGTTTCCAAATGAGTTTATTCTTGAGCTTTTATCATCTTTGTGGTCTACCAGACAAGGGAGGACAATTCTGATGATATTCTCCTTTGATCAGAGTTCTGGGTCCAGCTTCTAGCTCTGTGAACTGATTTGAAGATATAGTAAAGGACCCTACACAGACTTGTCTTCAAGAGTTTTAACAAGACGCTCCAAAATTGGTTTGGGTAACAGCATCTGAGACCCCTTAAATTCTGGGGAAACATGCAGTATTGCTTTTTCCAACTTTATGCTTTCCTGGATGCTGTCCTTTTTGTTCTCCTTGTGACAGAAACAAATCTGCTCTGCCCAGCTTTCCAGAGCCTCTGATAGGGTCCTCTACAGCTTTAATTTCATCTTTCTCAGACCTCTACCTTCTTCTGGATTTAGGAATCTTCTGGATTTAAGGTTCAGAAGCCATGTGCGTAATATGTTTGGTTTTTTTTATGTGACATTCTAAAACATTGCTTTAGTTAATACTTTCTCTCTCTTTGTGATTCACCTTTAGTTTTCAGTTGTATGCTGATCCTGCAGGGATTGGTTTGCTTTTCATGCAAACATAATTTTTCTTTCCTACTTTGTATATACATTTGGACCCACTTGCTTTTGTTTTTTACTTTTATTATTTTTTTTAACCTTCTGCAAGCTTTTCTGTAAATTCTTAAACAGGATTAAACCCCCAATCCCTACTTTATTACTCTTATTTTTAGCGTATCAGAGTATGTTCATTCACGTTTATGTCAAGTGCATGGATGTGAGAACCTGTGTCTTTGTGAATGTATCAGTAGTAGATTCCACGGTGACAAAGAATGCATTCCATGACAGGAACAGTTTCCTATGAAAACACACTGAGGGGCTTGTACAACTTCACCAAGTCACTGTGGTTATGATAATTCTGTTCTGTCCTTTATTCACCTCGTCTTCTACAATCAGTTGGATTGTAAACTACTGAAAAAGCTTACATATGAGAGACTCCTCTGTCTTCATTACCTAGATCAGGACTAACTTGATTTAATTACTCCAGGCTTCAAAACAGAACAATGTTTAGACAGTTACCAAGTGAGCTACAGATGTTGTGGGAGACTGACTCAATTATTCAACAGATGCTCTTTTTGTCTGTGACTGGGAACTGTACTGGGAATAGGGCATAGTTCAAGCACGAAATAAATTTGGTTATAATGTAATGAGAACCAAGTGTTTGCCCAGAATACTTATTTTGTTTTTAAAATAGAAATATTTCTTAAATCTTATTGAATACTGTTGAATTATTTTACTAAAGTTCGAGGAAAAACTCTGAAGTAGTTTTTTAAATCTCTATTGGCTTTATTGAACAATTTGCTGTATCTTTTAAGCAATCTTGAAGTGCACTGGTGAAATATTTTTATATTTACACAATTGGTCTACTGAGAACATATTTCAGGAAAAATGTATACCCTGTAGCTGGTTATTAGTCCTGAGACAGATTTGAAACATAAGCTTACAGTGCTGTGTTATCTGATGTCCTGGCGTCTTTTGTTAAGCACAGTTTGTATGTTATGCCTCAGGTTGGCCCCCTGTAATGTGTTAATTTTCTTTTTTCTCTAAAATGATCTAACTGCAGAGCACAGTACGTGGTTTGTACAGTGTTGAAACTAAAACTTGTCATATTTTATATACTATACTGCTAAAAAGGTGTAACGGTCTCTTGAGAGCACTGCTACACCTTCCTGTCTGTAATATAGATATTGTTATTACATTTATCAAAATCAGTGCTTTAGATTTATTTATGTTATTACTGAGGAATACTGGATCTATCTTACAGGGTTTTGCTGAGACTGGATCCTTCTCCAAATGACTATGAAGAAGATGCAGTAGAAATGTTTGGCTTTCAGTGGGTTACTGAAACTGCATTAGTTGAGTCCTGTGGACTTCTCTTTGGATTACTTAGGTATGCTGTTAGTGTATTTTATGATTATTCCAATTCTATAATTATAGCGATTTATTCTAACAATGAAACAAACTTCAAGTTTTTGATAGTAAAATCATAATATACTGTGGGCCATGTGATGCATCTAGAATCAGCTTTTAGTCTTCCTTGTATGGAAATTTCATAGAATCATAGTGGTACGTGGTGAATAAGACAGATGGAGTTATGGAAGATGTAAATTTTGTGTCAGATAATTGTAGTATTATATGACTTTTATTAATAAGTTTCTAAGCATCGTGGAGCACGTTAGCCATCACCAGGTAAAGACTGATAGGTATGTATTACAATGGAGTTATGGTCTATTTAGAAGAGTCTAGCTTAGCAGTTGACAACCCAGCCTCTGTGGCAAGGGAGTTAGAACTAGGTGATCTTTAAGATTCCTTGAACCCAAGCCATACTATGGTTCAACTGTATATGAGTAAACTGTAAGCTTTCCTTGAATAAGATTGTACTACCCATATAATTAATGTTAACTTTTGAAGATTTGAAGTCCTTTTTTAGTGCTAAAGAAAAAGTGGGTGTTACGAGTAAAATACTGCAAATTCTCCATGCAGCGCTTTCTTCAGTTGTTAGGATTAGAGTAGCTTCAGCAATCTCTTCAGGTACAATTACTCAGTGTTCCGTTAATTCAGTGTAGGTGTTTAGTCAGTGCAAATACACAGATTACCAATAATCATCTTCGCCTACTGATAATCCTCAGGATATACAGCACACAGAGAGGATGGATGGAAGAGGCTTTTCCATGATTCTGCAAACATGTGATATATTTCACCATTCCCTTAATTGCAGTAGATTCTTCCATCCCTTTAGAGTATGGCCAAGAGCATCATGTGAAATGTCATTAATGAAATCTGGCTACTGAAACATGATAGCGTAGATGACAGGAGGTGTATTAATTAGCTTTGCTCATTTGGCACAAGATTCTTCTTCACTGTGGTTTAAAAAATGTCATAAGGAAGCAGCTAGCATAACTTAGTTATAAGTAACACCATATCCTGGTTAGCATCCAATCTGATCTGTGCAGTTAACAGTTGACTTAACATCACTTTACAGTGAGACAGCGATGTTAATCTCTTGAATGAAATAATTTTTTCTTTGTAATATAAACCCCTTTGTAGTTACCTTTGAATTGTAATAGAGATTAATGTTAAAAAAAAACTCAATAAAATACATTATGCCTTAATTTATTCAAGCTGTTCATGTTTTAAAAGGTACTGAGCTGGTAGCAGTAATGGATTTCAGCTAACTCTTTGCTATAAGAATTTGGTTGCTAAGCTGTCTTTTGATGTGACAAGTCTCTCTGCAAAGATCTTACATCTTTCAGTTGATTTTTTTTTTTTTCCAGTTATGAAATGGTATGCTTTCATTTATAGACCATTTGACAACTGAAAATAGGAAAGCTCTGTTTTCCAGTGTAGTGATCATATATGGGAGATACAAGTTGTGCTGATTCTTGAAAACAAGGCGGCTAGGCATAGTTCAACAGTGCAGATAATGTCAATGTTAAAATCCACACCTGTGACAACTCAGTAATTTTTTCTTAACTGTCCACAATATTGAAGATTGCTACTTAACATTTTTATAGAATTAATACATAATTATGTAACAGAGCATAACTACAAGTTAAAAACAATAGTTGTGCAGTAAGAAGAATTCCTACCTGTGATTTTTTTTTTTCACATGACTGAAGATGCGAGTCACAAGATCAACAGCTAATAAGCACCAATCTTGGAGATACAAATGCAAAGTAGAATTAGAATTTCTTATTCAGGTTGTGACATCTTTGTTGTGCTTGTCGTGCTCCATTTGTGAATTTACTTTATGAACCGACTGTATTCCTTCGCTCAACTTAGTAAAGTTGTTTTTTTTTCTATTTACTTCCTTCTTACTGTTTTTAACCTTCAGTCTCCAAAGCCCTTTCTTAAAGTCCTCCAGCTTTAGACTTCTTTTCTACATGGTTAAAGTAACTGAAAAATTCACACAGAAATTCAGCTTTGATTCTTTCACCCACTTAGGTGTTTTTTGTTTTATGTCTTAGGTTGTTTTATACAAGCAAGGAAGAACTAAGGGAAGTAATTTTTATGTGGTAGCTGTTAATATGCAGGTTACAACCCAAATATTTGGATCCTTGTGGGCAGTTCCTAACATTTCCATACAGTTTAGTTCTCAA